ACATCTAAACGTGTATGCTTCCAACCACTCACTAATCGGTCCTTGAACTCCGAAATCACACCTTCTGGCATTGGCTTGTTCATCAGCCACTCCACTCGTTCGTCTACCTCGTGTAGCCCTTGCGGGGCCTCTTTCCATACGTCGTGCCCCAAAAAACATAGAAAACGGAGGAGTAGTGTCCCCCATCCGGGCCCTTCGGGGTTGGAGAGGGATTCTGCGACCTCCTGTCGCAAAGCTTGGTATGCCACAGACCCACGCTGTAAACGGACATGGTTCCAAAACCTCACAACCTGCTTGAGAACGTGGTAGTGTAGGGGTAGCTGCGATAGCTCTGCGAACAAGAGGCGGTGTGTTGGTCTGGCAGCTCCTACAATTTGCCGCATGAAAGATATCTGAAGCTGCACTGCCCTGTCCTTTAGGCACGCCTCGAAGGGCCCCTCTGCAAGGTTATTCGCATCACTCCGCTTCCTGAGCCTGTCCAAGACCTCAGCTAGCATAAACGGCCCCCACACTTGGCAACCATACAACAGTATTGCTCGTACCTGCGTATCGAAACACCTCATCCTCACATCTGGGGCGAACAACTTCAGCTTATCTAATTTTGCACTCAACGCGAACATAGCTGCTCTAGCTGTGTCATACAACTGCTGGCGGCAGGCCCAGAACTGCCGTTCCGGCCCATACACTAGCATGTAAACTGGCTAAACGAGCCTTGTGATAGAAATGGCTGTCCTGAAAACAAGAGCTGAATCCACCTGAATTGTGTGAAAAGGGCACATGAAGGTTTTTTCACGAAAGCGGCACATAGCAGAACCTGTTCGTACTTTACTTCAGACAGTTAGGATCTTTGGAAGGATTTCACCGTATAAAAGTAGTTGGCGAACAGTTTTCTGGTTTGAAGAGCCTGCAAATTGGAACGCACGGCAGCGATGTCCGTGCGACGTTTGCAATAACCAATTCTGACTGCTGCAAAGTAAGAAGGCAAGCATCCGTTCAAGAATTAACGAAGGTCCATGCACAGACTCCTATAAGTGATAGAATAATGTGTACATTACTTTGTGAGATAAACAAATGCACATTTGATCGCTTATCCTTGGTGAGTCCTGAGTTTTTGTGTCACCAGCGGTGCAACTGGCGGAAAGAGTCGGTAATCGGGAGCTGCTAGTTTGATAGACGATGGCATGGAATCGTCAATCCGTGCTTGAACGCTGCGCTGTGGGCGCCGCCGCCGCCTACGGTCTTTACTTGCTAGCGCGCTATGTCAACCACAGGTGTGCGTGGGGGTAATCATCAGATATTGGTTCAAAACTATTTCATGTTCGTTAGCATCAGCCGTTTTCAGATTGCGGTTGGGATCCCTCACGCTGCGTGAGTAAGCCCCTATTGAGTGTGTTGTGCCGTACTCTTCATCATCTGTAGGCTACAAGCAAAAGAGCTTCAACTCCAGCTGCAAGAAACGCAGGTGCGCGACGGTCCTTCGCCTCGAAAACGCTTCCTTTTCCTCGCCCCACGGGTCATCATATCATCACATTTACAACCTTTTTTATGAGCAACGCTATTAACACGCCGCACAAGACTCCTAAAGACTAAATCTTGCATGCAACGGCACTTTGCCTCAAAGACCCCATCCTCATTTGAACCAATCCATGTAGGCTGTCGTTAAATGCTCCTCAACGTTTAGGCGCGCACACCGTTAAACAAGTAATAGGAAAAGTATACTAATTCAGGCATTACAGCAAATTTCCTTCATAAGTTCCTTCATAAAATGTCAATCATGCTGGCGTCCTACAGGCTTCCTTGGAGCATGAGCGTGTAAAGCGCAAGGCCGACCGCGTAGGCCGCATCAGGGCCGAACAAGAGCTACGGGCCCTCAAGGTGCAGCTACAGCGCCTAGAGCTACAGCAGCAGCTACAGCCGCAACAGCCGGAAGTTGCAACGGCTACGGCAACAACCACGCAGCAGCAGCAGCAGCAGGCGGATGATGTGGCGCAGAACGGCGCGGTCGGAGAAGGAGCTGAAGAACGCGCAAGAGTTCTTGCGGAGGCGGCGGGGGGTATAAAGCAGTTAGGGAAAACTGAAACAGCAGTTGGGACCGTTGAGATGACGGTAGTTGGGAAAGCGCACGTTGGGAAAGCGGCGCCGGACGTTGACCGCAGCGAAGATGCGAAGCGCGCTGCGGCGGCGGCGGCGGCGGCGCTGGCGGCGGCGGGCTCGTCGATGCCGGCATTTCCTTTCCGACCCATCGGACATCTTCAATCCGTGTTCTCGGAGCGGTAAGAGCTGCGGCGAAGATTTCGGAACGATAAAAAAAGGTTTAACGATGCCTGAGGTGATATGATGAAGAAAGGAAACACGAAGTGAACAGGAGGTTAGTGTAGTCGTTTTGAAGTCTTTTTGATTTGCTTGGAAAGAGTCAGAGTAAAAGAGGAAACTGACCGAACCCATTTTGAGGAATGTAGAAAGGGCGACAAAGAGGGATTTTGTGGCCGGAGAAATGAAGGTGTGTTAGTTTGGGTGGTTAGGTGGTTGGACGAGCCGGCGGCGGATTGTCTGTTGTTTCAGGGGCCTAGCGGAAATGCTTTTTGTTGTCCACGTTGCAAAAGAAGATCGTGTCGTCTTCAGCGGTGGAGTCCTGCATGTGCCAGATGTTGACCCTGTCGTACCCTCCTCTGTCCCGTGCCGTACCCTTGCCGTACCCCTGCCGTACCTTCACAGAAACGGGACTCCTCGTCAGCCGCAGCTCGTACCCTTGGCTCGCTCTCGCCTGGTTCTCGCTCCCAACATCCCCGTCGCTTGCTTGGAGGGGTTGGAGCAGTACAGTCACTGCTGGGTGCTGTACGTCTTCCACGCAAACACAGGCACGTTTGGGGACTTAAGTTGGGGGTTGTCGGTTGTGCGTTACAATGACGGTTGTAGAAGAGGTTCTGGTCAACTAACCCAAACAATGAACCACCTCACGCAGTGTAATCTATTCCCCCCACTCTGTTCCTTCCCTACCCCCCCTTTCCCTACCCTACCCCCCCCCCTTTCCCTCTCCTCCCCTACCGTACCCTTTCCCTCCCCTACCCCCCCCACCCCCCACACCCATATGGGGGCCACTCAAGTGCCGCAGATTTAGCGAAGTACTTGTCGTCCAACCGCGCGGGGCTCAAGGCCAAGATCCACGTACCGCGCCTCAACGGCGGCCGCATGGGTGTTTTGGCCACCCGCTCCCCCCACCGGCCATCTCCCGTGGGCCTCAGCACCGCGGAGGTCATTCGGGTGGAGGTGCGTATCCGTACGCTCGTACATATGTACGTCAGTTCAAGTGTGTGTGTATGCTCGTACGCATGTATGTGTGTCTACGAAAGACCGGTTGAGTTGGGGTGAAGGATTGCGGGGGGAGCCGGGGGGGGTGAGGGCAGTCAGAACCAATCGATGAAAACACAACGCCTTTTAGGTTGTGTGTGTTGCGTGTGTGTTTTTGGTTTTATGTATGTGCGTAGGTTGTGTTTGCACCAACCCCGTTTAACCCCTGTTATTTCCATCACCAGTGCCTCTGTCCACAAGACCAGACACACACCCCTTCCTGCAAACTTCTTGCAAACGTCAAACAAACATGCGTACAGAGAAACACGCTGGTTCTGGGCGGTACGGACATTGTTGACGGCTCCCCGGTGCTGGACATCAAGCCCTACGTGCCGTTCTGCGACTGCCTGCCCACCGCCCGGGCACCTTCCTGGGTGCAGGTGGGGGCGCTGTGGCTGTTACAGATGTGCGGATTGGGGTTGGGGTTGAGGGGGAGAGTGGGAAAGAGGGAAAGAGCGGGAGGGAAACGGAGAGGGCGTTGCTGGCGGAGGTGGGGATGTAGGAAAAACCCGGGATGTACGACAGTTGCGTAATGATGCGCGATGGCAAGGTTGTCGTTCTTGGGGATCCCTGTCCCCCTGGGTGATGGGTGAACCCCCTTGACGTGCTGACGTCAGATCCGGTCAGATCCGGTCAGGGAGGAACCTGGAGGTCCTGGTTTGCAGTGTGGGTGGCGTGCGTACATACATACATACATACATACATACATACATACATACATACATACATACATACATACATACATACATACATATCCCCTTTGGGGGCTAGTCGGGCTGGTAGTGCGGTGTTTCCTTTTCCCCGTGGCTTATAGGCGTTTAGGTATTGCCCTTGGGCCTACGGCTCGTATGGGTAGTTTTACAGGTATGGGGTCACGCGCCCCCAACCGTATGTCACACACACACGGAAAAATACATACATACGCACGCACGCATTACGTTTTCGTGGCATAATACTACATTCACATACATACATACATACATACATACATACATACATACATACATACACACATACATACACACATACATACATACATACCCACACCTATGCAGGCGGAGGCGGACGACGAGCCCCTGAAGGTGGCCGAGGTGGTGGTGGGGGAGGCGGCGAGGGCGGCACTAACACGCGCGTGGCAATCGCGCAAGGCGCACTCCATGTACGGCTCTGCAGAGCAGTACTTGGAGCTCGTACGGCAGGTGTGTGTGCTGCACATGCATATCTTTCTTACTAAAGTACTGATTACCGTCTCGTGCGGTCTGAGCATTCCACGTGTTTACGTGTATGTAAGTATGTATGTATGTGTATACGGTATGTTGCGGGGAAGGGGGAAGGGAGCTTCTGTAAGTTATCTTTAAGAGAAACCAGTTAAGTCAAGAACCTGGGGACAAATCCCAACAGGAACTATTGACAAGACTCACCCCAATTGCGGATGGTCAGCGGCTCTTGGTATGTCCCCACCACATCCATCCAGTGCACTCACCCGCCTGCTGTTTCAGGGCTGTCCATGTCTCTGACCGGTTTCATGTGTTTCCAGCTCCAGGCCTCCATCAGCAGCCGGCAACACCACTCACCTGGGCAGCGGCACCTGTGTCGAATTTTCTTCTCCTTTCCGGGGTTACATTGTTCACATTGAATTATTTTAACTCCCACCCCCACCCCCACTCCCATCACCACCCCCACCCCCACTCCCATCACCACCCCCACCCCCGCTCCCAACCTGCTTTGCAGGTCCTTGGTCGGGACATCCGCTCAGTGCACCAGAGGCTCAACGTAAGGCCCACAAGGAACGCAGTAGCAGCAGCTGCTGCTGCAGCTGCTACTGCTGCAATAACCACACCCAAGCCAGGGAAAGCAACAGCAACAGCAGCAGTAGCGCCTTCAACGTCATCAGCACCCCAGCAACAGCAGCAAGAGGAGCAACCTAGCCGTGTCGGCCAGGGTGAAGGTGCAGGCAGTGGAGAATATCACGTCGTGCTGGAAAACATTTACATCAGCTACGATATAAGCTTGTCTGGCGTCGTACATGTGTACGACGCCTGGGTGGATCCCATTACCGCTGCACGCACTAACTAAAAGAGTCATTTTGTGGCCGTGGTTGGTGACTTCGTGTCGTGACTCTGGTTAGTTGGTTAGGTAGTTGGTTGCTTTATCGTTGTGTTACTGGGGATTGTTCGGTATTCTGTTTAATCAGGAGCCGGGGAGCATTTAAAATAAATACAACGAGCTCACTCACATTATGCGACACACCGACGGCCGAACGCCGATCTCTTGGTTGTATTTCTTGGCGTTTCTCCTTTATTCAGTCACCTGATGTCAGTTATGCACGTTACGCCTCGCAGCTACCCGTGCTAGGCCGTACCAACTACCGGTACAACTTCCCACGGCTTTACGCAGCAAGCTTTCCCCCCTACCAAATCTGAGATGTGTCGGATATATCATATTACCGATGCGATGGTTGAAACCCAGTTCACAAAGAAAGAATTCATTGGTTTCATCTGTCACACAGCTAATTTGTGGACCACATCCGTACATACTTGCACGGCAACCATGAGGAGTTGGGGATGTGAACTTCCTCCTTCTTCCTTCAGGCTGCTGGTCTGTTTCAGGAGCACCGGTCTACTGCTGTCTTTCTTGGCCCGCGACGGAGGCAGGTCGCCTAGAATGAGTGGCTGGGGGTTAGGGCTATGAATGGGTTATCTCACCCCATACCTCGCCAACCCATCGGCTGCCCTGTCAGGAATACGCCTATTCCTCCTCCTTCCCTTCCTCCTCCTCTTTCTCCTTCCCTTCCTCCCCCTCTTTCTCCTTCCCTTCCTCCTCGTCTTCCTCCTCCTCCCTCCCATCCTCCTCCCACTCCTCCTTCCCATCTTCAACTCCTTCCACCTTCCCATCCTCCTCCTGCTCCTCCTCTTCCTCCTCCCCACCTTCCCCCTCCTCTTCCTCCTCCCCAGCTTCCTCCTCTTCCTCCTCCTCTTCCTCCTCCTCTTCCTCCTCGGCTTCCGCTTCTTCCTCATCTCCTTCCTGCTGTTGCCCCGCCGCACCCTCCACGTCCCACGCCGGCAACGGGTCCTCCAGCTGCACAGCCCAGCCCTCAGGACCCATCGCCATCTCCTCATCAGTCAACAAACACTCGTCCAGCATAGCTCGCAAACCCGCCTCGTCCATCCGGACGCCGATCCAAACCAGCAGTTGACTGCGGTCGCCCCACAGGGGGTGCCAGCCCACAGGGGCTGTCGCCCCTGCAGCTGCCGATGCCGATGTGTCTTCGCCACCGTCTTCATTATCGTGGGAGCGACCCGTGGGTCGTTCCGACTCGCGCAGTAGACACGCCCATCGCGCCCTGTAGTCGCATCCGCAACACGCAACACCACAGCCAATGAATGGGCATAGCAATAATAGAGTAGAATGGCGGCTTTTAGGGTGACTGTAACGCCAGGAAAACTCCAAAAGCTCCAACAACAGCAATACCTCAGTACGGCCTGCCTTCCTATTACGGCGTGGCTCGTGTTCTCTGGGGGGTAGTGAGTGCGTGAATGCGCGCAGCCATTCACGTGCTCACCCTGGCTCGCCCTGCCAGGCGCCCCCGGCGGACTGCCAGATACCCATCACGTCATGGCGGGTGGCCAGCCAGAAGAAACCCTGAAGTAGCAGCAGCAGAAGAGGGGTGGGGAATCACATGCGATGCAAGGAAACACGGAATGAAGAAGAACGGCGTCGTCGTCTTCCAGAGTTCGAAACTGCTGTGGAGGTGGGGAGGGGACGGATAAGGGGGAGGGAAATGGGTTTAAATGGCTTGGGAGGAGGGTTGGGAGAGGAGCGGTGATGTCAAGGGAAAGCGCAAAACACGTCAGCAGCGGGGCAAGGAGGAAGGGACATGTAGACATAAGGGTCAGCCAACATGCATGTTGTGCGTTTTGGGGTAAGAAGAAGTCGAGGACAAACCGCCCTCCCCCCCGTATGGGTTTTCCCATAGGGCCCTTGTGACCTTTGGGGGTGCCTTACGATGTGCTCCGGAACCATTGAAGCTTCAGTGCCAGGCCACCCTTGCTTTCCGAGACGCAACCGCGGGACCGTCATCCCGCCATCTGACCAACTAACTACAACCGCTAGTTCGTACCTTTGTACGGAGCACGCCCTCCCATTGCCGACTCAGCGCCACGTCCAGGAGCCGTCGAGGGTGGAATGGCCGCTGAGCGTAGTACACGAATGACGTAATGCCGTACTTCTCCGCCTCGGTCATCCTGCCGCCGCCGCCACCGCTGTGGTGATGGTGATGGTGATGGTGGTGGTGCTGACGGCGGGCTGCCGAATCCATGCCGTATGCTCGGCTTTCCGTTAATGGTAAAGATGCGGAGGAGGGGTTGGAGGAGGAGGACGCCGAAGCGGTGGTGGTGGTGGTGGTAGTGGCTTGCCTTGCCGTTTCGAAATCATCTATCGTCGTTGTCTCCAATACCGAGGTAGGCGTCGATGGAGATGGAGATGGAGCTGATGACGACATTTCCCCTCCTGCTGCTGTTGCTGTTGATGATGATGACGTTGCTGATGCTGATGAAGCCAGACGCTCTGCCTCAAATTCGTTGAGCAGCGCCACCCACCTGCCGTACATGTAATACAGCCGTACAGCGTGCGGACGGAAGAACGGCATGACGACGCAGGGATGTTGCATGTAAACTAAGCAGCTATGAAGGCACATCCATGACTGAATGTAAGTCTGTATGTGTGTAACTAACTTCCTCAGCTTGAGCGAATTCGTAACGGGAACCGCAGAGTCTGTGATGGGAAACAAACCCACCCTTGTCCCTTCCCCACCCATCGCGCCCCTCGTCGTCCCTATGACTAACCAACAACGAATAACTAACAACCAACCATTCATTAAGTAGTCTCTACACACATGCACATATATGTACATATAGATAGATAGGTTGACGCTTGCTCCCGCCCCTTCGTGTTCCCCCTGGCGTTCTCACGGGGGCCTCCGCTTCCATTTCCCCCACCCCATCCCCCACCCGAGCATGTGCGCCAGTTGCTCGCAATCCCCCCCCGTCCCTCCCCCGTCCCCCTCACGGCTCTCCCCCCGTCACTCCCTCCCCCTCTCTCTCTCTCCCTTCCTCTCCCTCACTCACCCCGCGGATTGCTGCGCAGCTTCAAGATTGAAAGCCCCGGTGTTGAGGATTTCAGAGGGCGCCACCGCGCCCTGGGATGTCCGGATGACCTTGGGGGCGGAGGCGGGGGACGGGGGCGGGGCACCGGGGCCGGCGTGGAAAATTGAGAGAGAGCGTGTGTGTGTTGTGTTGTGTTGATTTACCTGAGCCGCGCGCGTGTGTGTGTGTAAGAGAGAGAGAGAAATAGTTCAAAGACATACATACATACAAACAGATACACACACGCATGCTGCTGCTCACCTTTGCGGTGGCGTTGAGCTTCCTGAGGAGCACCCCCAGCTCCTCCGCTCGCTGCTCCGAAACCAGGTCCGTCTTGTTCATCACGATCACATCCGCGAACTCCACCTAGGGTGAGGAATTGTTTAAATGAATGAATGAATGTATGTATGTAAGTATGTACGTATGTATGAGGAGGGAGAATGGAGGTAGACAGACATACAGAGGTACGCAGACAGGTTGGTCAAAACGCCAGAGACAGGGCGAAGGGCAAGAGGTCGGAACATGGAAAGCTTTGTCCAGCTGAAAACGGAGCTCTTATAAGATGTTAAGATGTTTCCTGTTATATCGCCGCAAGAGCGCGCGAACGTCACATATTCCGTACCTGCTCCACAAGCAAGTCCGCCACCGTACGATCGTCGTTCTCATCAACCGCCATGCCGTGATCCGCTAGCGCCTCGGCGGCGAGTACGGAACTCACGAAACGCTCCGCATCAACCTGTAGTGGTTATGGTTGTGTGGTTGTTTGGTATGGTTATGATGGTTGTAGTGGTGGTTGCGACGGCAGTGGCGATAATGGCGGTGGAGAGACACACAAGACATGCCAAAGACGACACGTCGTACATGTCGTACAAGGGCGCATGACTCACTTGAGCGCATTTATTGCTTCATCCCTACAGCCACCCCATACCCCCACATCCCCACAGCCCGAAGCCATCAAAACGTTTCCTAACCTACCCCAAAACACTCCAGGTACACTCTTGCCCTGGCAGCAGTTTCACTCGATCGCGGTTCGTCTTTCGCCCCAAAATACACATACATACATATATATATATATACATACATACATGGAGGGACTGCGGAGTGGCTGCGTAGAGTGTTGGCAGTCTGAGTCGGGGTCGGGAGCACACAAGACTAACCGACTTGTGCTGTGTGCTCCCGACCCTTGCGCTGTGTTTCGGCTTCGGCCCCCGGCTCTCGCGGCCCACAGTGTAATCTAAGTCATACATACATACATACATACATACATACATACTATACATACTATACATACTATACATACTATACATACTATACATACTATACATACATACATACATACATACATACATACATACAGCTGCCCCAACCACTGCCACCCACCACGGTGACCAGGGTGTCCAGTTTCGCAACCTCGGACAGACACCGGCCAGCTTCATCCACAAAGTCGAATGTCGCCGCCACGGGCAGCGGCAATGAAATCCCCGTAGACTCCACCACAAGCAGGTCAAACCGCCGCCGCCGCTGCCTCCCCTGCTGCTGCTGCTGCTGCTGCTGCTCGGCGGAGAAGGGAACCTCCTCTCGTTGCTCGGCCAGTGAACGGATCTCCCGTACAAGGTCTTCCCGAATGGAGCAGCAGATGCAGCCGTTAGACAGTGCGACGAGTTGCTCTCCAGCCACGTGAACCTTCTCCGCGATGAGAGCCTGCGGGGGTGGGGGGCGGGGTGGGGGTGTGTGTGGGGGCAGGGTGTGTGTTAGGGGCAGGGGGGGGTGGGGGGGTTGGCCCAGGGCTGTGTAGGGGAACGAAAGCGCGTCGGTCGTTTGGGGGACGTAAAACACAACACCGTGGGGCAAATGCGGTGACGACATGCGGGTGCGGAAACCCTAGTTGGGTTGGAAAGGACAGGTGGGCGGAGGGCGCATCGGGGAAACCGAATCGTGTGGTGGTTGGGTGGTTGGGTGGTTGGGCGGCTGGAACTTGTACGATATATAAGGAAGGGGAAATCAAATCCCAATGGCGCGTAGGTAAGGCAAGAGAGGGTGATGAAACTAATCAGGGAGAGTACACCATCATGATAAGCATGCGTGCAAAGGGTATGTGTGTAAGAGGAAATATATGTACTATAAGAGGAGACCAAAATCGGGAAGTGGGGGAGGTGGAGGAGAAGGGCATAGGAATGGGGAAGATGAGAGGAGACATCCAAAAAATGCGTACGCCCATATATGAGCGAGTACGTAAAGCCTAAAATCCTTCGTGGAAGGGAACCTGGACGAACCAGAACAGAAGGTCGAGGGAGGGGAGATGTTCCGGGGCAGCAACGGGGCAGCACAGGCGTGTGCGGCAAGTCTTGCTGCGTACCTCATCGATGTTCACGGCTGCCATGTCATTCACAAGCACCGCAGCCCGCAACCCCTCCGAATTTGAAAGGATGTGACTAAGCAGCGTCGTCTTTCCGGCGCCCAAGAAGCCCGAAAGCACGGTTACGGGCAGCCGGTCGTCAATGTCGTCCACGGTGTCATCGTGCTGTGTGGCCGGTACCCGTCCAACCGGCATAACAGGCTCCGCTGCAGCAGCAAAGCAAAGATGCGGTGCATTCCATCGCACGGCTCCATGGTCGTGCAGGTGTCGTTGACGACGGGGTACCACGGATGTGGAGTACACCAACGCCGCCGAACTAGTCCGGGACACCACGAAAGGCGTTTGATGGCGAGGTGCGTGAATCGATCGACATCGCGCCTTTTCACAGTGGCATGTCAGCGTGAAGCTGGGCATCTTTCTTACAAGCGGAAATATTATGGATACCGTTAGTGGAGTCCCTACGACCGGGCCGAGCAATCGCAAATCGCCATAAAAAATTTCGCTCACGTAAACGTACCATAACGGGTGTTAAGATAAATTTGCCACATATTGCTCGTTTCCGCCTTCCGCCATCCTAACCGGTTGCTGTACGGTTACCAGTTTGCGTCCCAGGGACATACCTTTCAGTTAAAGCTCCGGCACCAACATCGTATTATTTTTTGCTGTGTGAGGATAACGTAAGTAGAGGCCTGCGGAACTTGCCTTCTATAAAGGACTTGTTGCCCTGTGCTACTCCAAGCACGCGAGACTGTTTAACATTTGTAGTTGTACATGCCTTGAGGCTTGGGCACGGCATGCCTCCAAAAGATGCGTTATATGCCGCGCAAGGGGTAGTCTAGGTTCAATGCCAGGGCGGCTGGAGCGGCCAGGCCAAAAGGACCTAACACGCAGAAGCCATGGATCAAAACCTTGATCAGGGCTCTCGCTCCAGGTAAGCGCTTGCGCAGGACTTCAACCTCTAGTCAGCACTTGTGTTCTTGGGACCCGTTCCATGCCTATCACGGCAACTACAACCATCGGGTTTCAGCATCACGGCCTTAGCTCTAACCGCATGGTATGCTCCGTTCCGGCAGCGCTGATGGCCGCGCCCATGACCTGACCTTGGCGTTTTCACCCGCTTACGAAGACGCGCTGTCCGCGCGCTCCTGCAGGGTTTCATCTCCATCGAACCCCTCCAGCCCCGCACAAAGCTCCCCTAACCACTTAGCCCCATCTTCTTTGTTGCACATACGCTTTGTAACCGGCTTCTTGCTGCACCCTGCCGCCCAAGAAGCTTTAATTACCTGTGGCCCCTCTTGCCCACACTGACCCCTGCGGACGCCCATCCGAACTCTCCTAGTGGATGACTTCCGCGGGCATCAATGAGCCTTCCCCGCCAAAAACACACCCTTCCCCACCAAAAACACACAAGCGTGTGTTACGCAAAATATTCGATGTCCCTCGCGATCTGACGCACACATCCAGACAGGCATGCCCCACGAATGCATGTTCGCCACAGCATGCCACCCCCCCCCAATGCCTCCCACACACCCAGCTCGGCACGCCACGCTCTCCCTGACCTTGCCCTGCCCCCCTTGCGCCTTGCTGATGACACGCCATAGGGATAGCCCCCATCCCCCGACAGCTCGCCCTACTACGCCTCCCCTCGCCACCCTTTGGCAATCGAACAGCGAACCTTTAAAACATTGGCGACTTTTTTCCTTGACCTACACCCTCCGAGGATGGTACATGCAGCCTCGCCTCCATCACCACCATTCCCGCCAATCCCGGGTTGTAAAAGTGAACGAAAACATCCCGGCAGCTAAATAATAACGTAATGACCATTTTTCAGTATCATGTGATTTCAACGTAAGGCGTTCAAGGTAGGATCGTCTCCTCCTCCCCTCCCCCACGCATTTACATCCTATATACATCCCTATATTATATTTTGGCATGGCATGGTTGGCTTTCTTAGCGCCATAACTCCGGGTCCTTCCCGGCCCGATGTCCTGTCGCCTGTTGTCGCAACAGGAGGGGGTCGTACGGCAGCGATCACAGCGAACACCGGGCCGGAGGCGGCGGCAACGGCGCGGGCGGCCACCGGGACCACAATTCCCACCATTACCGGGGGGGCAGGGGCTCCGGAAGGGGACGAAACCCACACGGACACTCCAGGGGCGTGCCTGACGGCTACGGCATGCCGCAGGATCATCCGTACGGGCAGCTTCATGCGCTGCATAACGGCTACGACCCGGGCTACTCGTCGCATCTGGCCCCTGACGGATTGGCGTACGGACAGCACCCTGGGCAGCAGAGCATGGGCGGGCCTTATGGGCAGCTAGCCGGGGCCCCGGGATATGGTCAGGTTTGCTATGATCCTGCGGTAGCGGCGGCAGCAGCGGCGGCGGCACACGCGGCGGCTATGGCCATCCAGCAGCCGCAGCCGTACATGCACCTTATGTACGGAGCGCAGCCGCCGCTGGGGATGCCGCATCAAGGG